TGTTCACATGATGAATGACATATATTAACAGGATGAATATCACAATTCTACAGGATTATTGACACATTTACAACCGTGCATAGAATAATAACCCTTTACTAATGAATAACTGCTAATGAATTAATGAATAATTGTACATAGATGATGAATAAAATTAGAGACAATGAATAGCAATCCTTTACTAATGAATAAATAAGTCGATCTAATGAATATCACAATGGCAATGAATAACTAAGTCGATCTAATGAATATCTGATGATGAATAATATATTCGCAGATGATGCAAACATTAAAAAAAACAACAAATATCTGATGAATCATGTTATCACTATGATGAATATTGACTACGATATGATGAATAATATCAGTATATAGAAATAATTATCGAAGTAACCATAAAAAAGATTAAAAATTCTAAAACATTGATAAAGTATTAAAGAAAACTGATGAACAATGCATAGAACTCTTTATCTTTTACAAAATGAGCATCATTTCAATGAATAAAACTGACAACTTGATGAACTAACATCAGTAATCGAGAGATTACTCTTAAATTTACATAACCCAAATATGCGGCTGACCACAAATATAGGATGAATAATGACATCGATTTGATGATTAACGATACCTAAATGAGAAATACTGTCAGATCTACTAAGAATTTATTAAATCAACCATAAAAAGATGAACAAGACTAAAAAATGATGAAGAAACATTATCTAGATGATGAATAACGATAGAAAACTGATGAACAATTCCTAAATCTATTAATCTCTTCCTAAATCAACCAAATTTCGTTGAACAAAACTATTAAATTGATGAACCAACATCAGTAATCGAGCGAATAATCTTAGATCACATAACCCATTTTTTTAAAAAAAATCATTTATTTAAGAGACCAATAGTTTTACCTCATAAATGGATCAGAATCCGAATAAGAATAAACGATCGTTGATTTCTGCATAAAAGTTTTGGATCAAATATCAATATTTAAACATCATAAATGAAAAAATCAAGAAAATTTGATGAATACACGATGAATTTAACCGTAATTTACCCGAATTTTCATCGTCTGCCAACCAAATTAAATCACTGATTTAATGCAAAATATGAGTTCTTTATCGAAAGAACCGCCACCGGAGGTTTTTGTTTTTGTATTGCCGGAGGTCTGAATTTCGAGAATCACCGTTTTGAAGATCTGAATCGGTGAATCAAAAATTTGCAGAGAAGTGGTTGCGGGGAGGTTTGGAATAACGAGAAAAAAAATAGGATCTTCAATTAGAGAAAAATGGATGAAAATGGGTTGAAACTGTTTAATGATTTTACCATATATAAGACACGTGTTGTACATATAAATGATATTTTCCTAAATATTTGGAAGTGCACTATTTTCGTGCGCGTGAATGTCACCCTAGAAACACATTGCAATGTGCTCCTAGGTGCTGTATATTATAATTGAGGTAAACTGGGCCAATTAGCTGTCCCCACTCCACTGTCCCATGGCATTTGCTTTTTTGTTCTCTCATTTTATTTTCTTTTATTTTTAGACAAAATGCATTTTCCTTCTTCTAACTTTTGGGCGTAGCAAGATCGAGTCATTATGTATTTTTAATTAGAAAAAATAGTTCTTTAGAATATCTTTCTCATTAATTTTGATCAATTTAACAGAAATTTTAAGTCAACTAACGGTTAACTTTTTATTTTTTACTATTTTCTTCCAAATTGCGGGGCCCACAAACTCTCATCAACAAAAAAAAATTTCATTTTCTTTTTATGTTTCTGAAAAAAATTGAGGGGGCCGAGAAAGGAGCTCCTGCAGCAGAGGGAAAAACATCTGGATTAAGGAGTCTTTCTTTTGAAACAGGGATTAAGGAGTCTGAAGGACGGAGGAAAAAAGTAAAATAAAATAAAATATCAGCAACCATGGAAAAGGTTTCTTTCTCCATCTCTAAGTCCCAACTAACCGCGAAAACGCCTCCGTCATCGGCTTCCGGCGGGAATATCGAAGAAGAATCCCGGGAATTCATAACGGTATTCAACCCCTCCGAAGGCCTGCCATCACTGCATAAGCAAATTCGCGTAATTCCTCCGAACCCCAACGAGTAGGCGCCGTCCAATTCTACTCTGCTACCGGGAACGCTCAATCGTCCGCCGCCGCGCCGTCCGTGGAAAATGACATCGCCGTCTGTGGAAAAAAGAAAAAAGAGTTTCAGTCAGAAGACTATGAAAGCCGCCGTACATCAATCATATAGTTACTTTTTCTTTTCTGTTTTTTGGCGGTAAGTCTCGCCACCGTCGCACGGCCTCCGCTCCAGTGATGAGTAGGGTTTTACATCTGGAGCTTCCTTTCTCAGCCTCCTCAATTTTTTTCAGAAACCAAAAAAGAAAATAATTTTTTTTTTTTGCTGATTAGAGTTTGTAGGCCCCGCATTTAGGAAGAAAATAATAAAAAATAAAAATTAACAGAGGAAAAGCATTGATTGTTAGTTGACTTAAAATTTCTGTTGATCAAAATTAATAAGAAAAATATTCTAGAGAATTATTTTTTCCATTTAAAAATATATGATGATTCGATCTTACTATGCCCAAAAGCTAGGGACGAAAAGTGCATTTTGTCTTTTATTTTTCTAATAGGAAATATGCCCATCTAAAAAGACTCCGCTCTATTTGGACAAGAGTTTTGAAAATTTGTTCAAAAAAGTATGTTTGAAGTAAAAGTTGAAAAAATAATTTTTGAAAAATAATACATTTGGACAAGAATTTTTCAAAACCCTTTTACGAGTTAAAAATATGAAAAAGCCATTTGGATTAGGTCTTTTTTAAAAGTACTTTTTGTTAAAAAAATAATTTATTAACTTTTTTTTAAAAAAAAAGAATTATTCAAATTTTTATTTTCTTTTTTTCACTTCTCTTTTCTAAATTATTTTTTTTATTATTCACAATTATCTTGCTCTAAATTTTCTTTAACACACTTTACCTTTCCAACATAAATCAAACTAGAGTGTAGATTTAAAACCATTATAACTAAATTAAATGCATAATATCTATACCATTCTAACTTATTAAATACATAATAAGTTATGATAAACAAATACTAACAGATAATTTTTTAATTGATTTCTAATTTCTATCATTATTACAGTTGTATTCGTACTAGCAGTAAATTCATTATATTGATGACATCATTAAAAAAAATTGATACAAAAGTATTATTTTACTAAAAAAATAAAAATTAAATTCTTATACACTCAAAGACAAATAATTTGTGAAAAAATTTTTTCAAAGAAAAATATATCAAAAAGAAATAAATAATGTAAAATTACAAAAAATTCAAAATGTAAATTAGTGAATAATAAAATAAAAATAAAAGAAAAGAAATAAAAATTTACTTTTTTTTGGTAAAAAATTTTTTTATCTTTTTCATATACATATAATAGTTAAACAACATATACATTGATTTTGATTTATAAATTTGAATGAAATTTTAATTCTAAAAATATTAACAACGGATTTTAATAGAAAGATCTTCTCGCGTAGATTAATTTGATATATAACACATTGTCTAATTATTTATATATTAAAAGATATAATTATTTGAAAAAATGTGAGAAAAGTGAAAATAAATAAAAATTTTAAAAAAAGTGGGGCCGAGAACAGATGAGGATGGTGGGGGAATGGGATCCCCGTGCGCGTGGGAAAGGGACCAAATATATTGATATTTGGTCTTGTTATTTATATTCATGACCCGATTTTTTATAACCCGCTTTCGATCTGGATCTAGACCCGCGAACGGACACAAAAAGCCTTATTTCAAAAAATTGAAAAAATACCTCTACTTATTTTTAAAAAAGTCTGTTTTAAGGCTTCTTTTTTCAAATTGATGTTTAGAAAAGATTTAATTATTTTGTCCAAACGCTTTTTAAACTCTAAAAACACTTTTTAGCCTTAAAAGTCTTTTTAAAATTCTTGTCCAAATAGAACCTCCATTATTTATCATCTCTTCGGTCTTGCACATCTTAAAGGGACTCCATCTCCACCTCCACCTTCGTTTCTTCTTCAAAATCTTGGACAAGTCTTACTATCAGCAGACTTGCAGATCTTATTTTTAAATTTTCTTTTTTACAAATTCAGTTTCTAGGGATGTATATTTATTTTTCTCTATCAAAATCTAATTCCAAAAGAGATAAAAATATAAGATCAAATTATCTTTTCTTCAACAAATTAGAATGTATCCCATCAAGAAGAACACGTTGGTCATCTTTTACCATGATGTGATGATCAAATCTTACCGTTCCACCATTATAATGAGATGTTAAGAGCATCTGGTAACGGGTGGTCATGGTGCAGATATATTTCGGCCATTAAGTAGAAGTAGGACAGATCGGGTGGGCAAAAATCCCTTGATATGTAACGCTTGTGAATCAAACGGATCGAAACTTACAAGGAGAAGAGGAAGGTGATACTTTTAGTTTTAACGTTTCAGTTTCAGGACAAGAGAAAAGGGGTGAAGTTCAGAGAAAGTCGATTGGGTTTTTTATTTTATCATATTTAAAAATAAATAAATAAAGAAAAGAAGAATGAAATGAGAGAAATAAAATAGTATATTAAATGGGGTAACAAGGTGGGTCGAATCTCTTGTCCACGTCAAATTCGTGAAAGACAGTTAAAAATAATTCGTTGAGTCTATCAGGATTCTTTAAAAAATTTGTGCCAATTAATGAAATTTAAATTAAAAAATTATTCAGAACAAGAAATACACTATAAGTGAAAATTTAAACTGAATAATTATTTCACGATATTTTTAGAATAAATTGTTTAAAAAATAAAATTCTAAACGGAATAATTGTTTCTCTCTCTTTTTAATTTTTTTTTTTTTAACCCAATCACCAAGCTGGAAGATGGGTTTCCAAGGGAAGCGTGTAAAGTTAACGGAGCCGAGTTGGCGGTTGCAAACGTAAAAATAAAAAGTTTTAACGGCGTTACGGACAAGAAGTCGCCTTCTTGTTTCCTTTGACATTCTACCTCTGCAACAAAACAAAACAAATCGTAAAGAACATGACAACTATACAGACAGACCCACCACCTTATTTGATCAATTTTCATTTCTTAATAATTATTGCCTTTATTTTAACCTCCGGAAGCCTGACTTCCCAGCATTAACTCTGCCGACGCCTTCTCTCTTTGATGGGTTTTCTCTAAGGTATGTTAGCTTTCACGCCATTGCATTTTCTACTGTTGATTCGGTTATGGTCAACTTAGTTTTATGAATTTTCCTTTTTTTACTGATTTTTTTTCCCCTTAGAGAATGTCTCATTTGATTTGATTCTGTGATTGATGAAGTGGGATGAAGTGATGTTTGTATTTTTTTTTTAATTGGTTAAGGATCTCTTGAGTTAGTAGAAAGGGTTTTGATTATTTTGCGATTGCATTATGTTTATGAACTTTGATGCTTCAATTTCGTGTTGAACATCGAACTAAGTACAACTAGATTCGGACAAAGACTTTGATAGTTTAATGAAAGTAGTTTAAGTCACCTGTTTTTTTAAAAATGCTATTCATTTTCCATTTTGATACTACTGTTTTGGTGTGTTGAGGAGGTATTTTTACGCTAAGATTAGTAAATGTTGGGGTTGAGTGGCTTAAGACAGTGTTACAGGATTTGCCTTTGCTTGGTTGTAGGTATTTGTTAATTTGTAGAGTTTTATGACCCTAGTTGTCATGGATGGAATCATTGAAGAAAGGGTGAGTAATGAAGTGAGTCAGAATGGGGATTTCATTGCTGCTAAGGAAAAATTAGGGGAGAAAGATCCTCAGAATGGTGATCTGCCTCCCCAGAGTCTCCAGAATGGAGTCTCAGGTGCTGGAGTTGATGGAGCAGTAGAGACCTCCATTGAGCAACTCTATGAGAATGTATGTGAAATGCAAAGTTCTGATCGATCACCATCAAGGCAAAGTTTTGGATCAGATGGAGAAGAATCCCGGATTGATTCGGAGTTAAGGCACCTTGTTGGAGGTGAGATGAGGGAAGTGGAAATTATGGAAGAGGATGAAGAGATCAGGAGGCAAGAGCATGATGATTCTCCTAATAATAGTTTCTCAGGTAAGGAAAGCTCACCTGAAAATCTGGGAAACTGGCAATCAGGAAGTAACAAGAATGCTTCACTTCAGGTGAAGAAAACTAGCCACTCACCAATGGACTCGGATGTGTCAGCAATCTCAAGTCCCAAGGGTACATCTTTCTTTGGGAAGGCTTCGAAAGAAAAAAACATGAAAAAAGGAATAAAAGCGGGTGTGTCTGCAAGGAAACAGATCAATTCACCTTTGACAGCATCTAAATTACAGCATGACACTGGCGATTCGTCTGAACTTGGTTCTGACAATCCTGATCTTGGGCCATACCTTCTCAAGCAAGCTAGGGATTTGATTTCTAATGGTGACAATCCTCAGAGGGCTCTTGATTTAGCTCTTCGGGCTTCCAAGTCTTTTGAGAAATATGCCAATGGCAAGCCCAGTCTAGATGTGGTCATGTCTTTGCATGTAATTGCAGCTATATACTGTAAGCTAGGGAAGTATACTGATGCAATCCCAGTGTTAGAGCACTCAATTGAGATTCCAGTGGTTGAGGATGGGCAAGATCATGCCCTTGCTAAATTTGCAGGTTTTATGCAACTGGGAGATACTTATGCCATGTTAGGTCAGCATGAAGAATCAGTTATGTGCTATTCTTCTGGTTTAGAAATCCAAAGAAAAGTATTGGGAGACTCGGATCCAAGGGTCGGTGAGACCTGTAGATATGTTGCTGAAGCTCATGTTCAAGCACTTCAGTTCGATGAAGCTGAAAAGCTCTGTCAAATTGCTCTAGATATCCACAGAGAGAGTGGCTCCCCTGCTTCCCCTGAGGAGATAGCCGATAGAAGACTCATGGGACTAATTTATGAATCAAAAGGAGACCATGAAGGTGCACTTGAACATCTTGTTTTGGCCAGCATGGCCATGGCGGCCAGTGAGCAGGATGTAGAGGTTGCATCAATTGATTGCAGCATTGGGGACACATATTTATCTCTGAATCGCTATGATGAAGCTATCTCTTCTTATCAGAAAGCACTTGCAGCTCTCAAGTCAACAAAAGGGGAAAATCATCCGGCGGTGGCTGCAGTTTTTGTGCGTCTGGCTGATCTGTATAACAAGACTGGAAAATTCAAGGAGTCCAGATCTTATTGTGAAAATGCCCTTCGAATTTTCGGGAAGTCTACACCTGGTATTGCTCCAGAGGAGATTGCCGGTGGTCTTACTGATATATCTGCTATTTATGAGTCAATGAACGAGCTTGAGCAGGCCCTTAAATTGCTGCAGAAGGCATTAAAGATATATGATAATGCCCCTGGTCAGCAGAGTACAATAGCAGGAATTGAGGCTCAAATGGGAGTTTTATATTATATGTTAGGAAATTATCTGGAATCATATAATTCCTTTAAAAATGTCATAATGAAGCTCCGTTCTGGTGGAAATAAGTCGGCCTTTTTTGGGATTGCTCTTAACCAAATGGGACTTGCTTGTGTACAGCGTTATCAAATCAGTGAAGCTTTGGAATTGTTTGAAGAAGCTAGGACAATATTGGAGAAAGAATGTGGACCATATCACCCTGATACGCTTGGAGTGTATAGCAATCTTGCAGGAACTTATGATGCTGTTGGCAGGTATCCGTTTTACTACTTTTGAATCATGAAACCTTTAACTTTTTATAGACAAGTTAATGCTTAATGCTGAAAATTTCATATGCACTACGTTATTGTCTTTTTTGCTAGTCTCTTATTTATCACCGTCTTTTGCTAGTCTTTCAATTATCATTGTCTTTGGGGACTTTCATGATTTTGAGTGGATTAGAATCTATTATGTGGTTTGACACCTAGCCATTGCATGAACTCTTCAGAAATTGACTTGCTAGACATACGTGCACACACAAAACACACCCACGGGCGCACACACACACAGTCACATACAGACAGGCACACACCCATGCTATCACACACTTGGGGCACACACCCTCGCTATCATACACTTGAGGCACATTGATTTACAGGAATGATGGTGAATTTTCCTTGGCGGGTGAACCCAGTAAAGGGTAAATCTGAGAATGTATTTTTCTCACCACATCGTCATAATAATAGCTCTGTTTCTAGTATTATTATAAGTTTGGAAACAGGCTATTACAATGGACGGAGGAAGAATGTTGCAAGATAAAGGTTGCTGTCTGAGATTCGATGTATTCGAAGCAGATTGAAAATTGGATCAATTTCATTTTGGAACTATGTTGAGAACTGAACCTTCTGAATGGAAATGCATGCATATAGTGTTTTGTTTGTGATTTGCTGATAGTCTGATATCTGTATTTAGGTTGGAAGATGCAATCGACATCTTGGAGTTTGTTGTGGGAATGAGAGAAGAAAAGCTTGGGACAGCAAATCCTGATGTAGATGATGAAAAGAAGAGGTTGGCTGAACTTTTAAAAGAGGCTGGTAGAACCCGGAACAGAAATGCCCGGTCACTGGAGAATCTCCTCGACTCCAGCAATAATACAAATACTGTAAACAATGATGGGATTAAGGTATGACAGAATTGGTTGTACAGTGGCTTACGAGTATAAAATTCATACAAATCAATAAGGAGGGTGAAGGTATTAATGTTTATAGGAAACGAAGATTGTTCTGTAAGCAAGATGAGGATGCAGTACAGTACTGATTCTTTTTTTTTTTTTACTCCTTTATTGGTTAGGGTGGTTAGCTTCTATATTTAAGTTGTAATTTATGATATGCATCTGCCTGTATAAAAAGTTTTTGCTTTCATTTGAACCCTGTCTGTAATATTACACCGATTGTGTGACTTTATCTCGATTAACATGAAACAGAAGTGTGTCGTCTAGTCATTGAAACTAAACAGCAGCCAAGATGGTTTGTGTTTCTTAAATTCTCTGCAGCGCACGGGCCCGTTGTATTGTATTGTATTGAAGACAAGATGCTGTTTGTAGTTGTCTTCATATCCTTTGCCTTTTGTAGCTTTCTCACCTGGCAACTGACTGCACTTCACTTCACGCATTGTAATCTTCATCATCATTTCATCTGGCTCTTTTTCTTGAGATTGGCCCCTTCTGAATGTCATGTTTACTGTTAATATGGTGTCTTGGCAGTTTTTGGTCATATGTTTTGTGTTGCTCATGAAAAGGTTGTTCTGTTGTGGTGTTTGAATGATATTGGTTAATCATATACGCTGTGCCTCTAATATTTTTGGCGATTTCCTCGAAATGTGGTATGAGCATGGTTTTTTGCCGCTGAATAGAGTATCTTAGGTCCCCTTTGTAACATCTTCCCCTTTTACTTCTTCCCTTTTGCAATCTCCTTGGTGAAATTGCAGCTGCTTCTGACTGAATACTTGTGAGCGGTGAGTGAATTCTTGTGTTCTTTCCTCTCTGGTGAAACTGCTGCTGCTCCGTTTAGGTTAAAATTTTGTTAGTGTCCACATTTTTGTTTGAGTTTTGACTTGGTGTTACTGTTCGATGTACTTCTATCTGCTCTGCTCTTAAAGGTGATTGTTTGTTGGTTAATATGAGGTCATGACATATGTTGAATAGTTGAATGGAAATACTCATCCGGGAGTTTTCTTTTTCCCAGTTATGGTATTTTGTTTTTCGCGTGTTTATTGGTGGTTGGTGCTTATTCGAGTTGGGTTCTCTCTATGTATTGACATCTCTAGAGGGATTTACTGAGATAAACTCATTCATGCATTCTCATTTGTTTTGTCTTTCCTTTTTGTTTTTTTTACTAAAATTACCAAATGGTCCTTTACATTTGAACCAATTTAAATTTACGTCCCTAACAATAATATTTTAATATGATTGTTTAAAATATTATGTTTTGGAACTTTTTTTGGTTCTGTTTTATGGTTCCGATAGATTTTCCGTCCAACTCGATGTTGACCGGTAGTTGGCATACCGTCAGCAGGGGTAGTTTCATCTTTTCATCTAAGTAATATTTTAAATTAATAAATAATATTTTAACAATTATATAATAGAAAGTGAATTTTATAATTTTTTAATGATTTAAATTTTAATAGACATTCAAAAATTACTTTCAATTTAATTTGTAAATACTGAACCAAAACTAATATAAAGTGGCATGGTGACATTGGCTAGCTAATAGTAGAATAACGACGCACATTCAAGTTTATCAGCTTTCGTTGTGGCAAAAGCAAATAATATTTAACGCAAAATAGTTCATATGCTACATAATTCAAATCATGTACGTTCATATTTTTTCGTCGCATTTTGTTTGTGATCATCTGTATTAGTCACAGATTTAGATAGGACGATTCTTTTCCCCATTTAGTGTCCCGCAAAAAATTCAGAAGGGCTTCGGGTCTTTCCGCATGTTCATTTCTAGTTCTCTGTGTTTCATTTTGACACTCCACTTTAATGAATAAATTAAGTTCAAAAATATTATCCTAGTAAATGAAAGTAAGAAAACAATTAAAAAAGATGGTGGATGTGTCAGGAGTAGTTGTTCTCTCCGGCGATTCAGTCATGTGACCTTAGTTTTAAAATGCAAGAGGCGTGTCGAGGCAATAAAGACCTTGAGAGTCGAGGCGTGAGGCGTGAGGCGAACGCCTCACATATGCGAGGAGAACTCCTTCATAAAATATATATTTTTTTATATATATGTCTATTATAGGTGGCAATTATAGTTTTAAACATATGAATATAAAAGTTAAGGGATCAATTTGTTAAAATATTATACTATAACAGCATATTTGAAAAGTCTATGGAGGTCAAATTGATTTTGTTCAGCCCATGTCAAATGGGCCTTCTTCCATGGAGTAGTAAATGGCCCAGAGAAACTCTTTCTCTATCTTTCTCCTCAGCTGCCGCTGCTTTTCAGCCGTCCTCCTCTCTTCTTCTTCTCTTTTTTCTCTCCTCTCACGATCGACCGTTCAGGCATCCTCCTCCTCTCTTCTCCTCTTTTTCTCTCTTTATTCTCCTTCTGACACCTGACCTTCCTCTCTATTCTTCTCTCTTCTTCTCTCTTCTTCTCTCTTCTTCTCCTCTCCAGATCTGCCATGATGTGCCATGGTCAACGACTCCCAAATCCAGTCAAAAGGTCGAAATACGGGAGGCGAGCGCCTCTTGCGCATCACGCCTCGGAGTGAGGTAAGCGCTTTTTGCGCATCCTACTCGCCTCACGTAATCGCATCGCATCACCCTCCATGATGCCCTTGTCGCCTCACCTCGAGGCGCGCTTTTTAAAACTGAGCGTGTGACAACTATCGCCATCGCCCAAAAAAATTCCAACTCGGACTCTCAATCTTGATTTCAAGAACTGATTAAGGCCTATTTCTTCATCTTTAAATCCACCATACTATCATCTTTAAATCTTTGGTCCATTATTGTTTCATCCAACTCAAAAGTTAATTTGCAAAGTGAGGCAAAACAGAGGAAAAAAAGAACGATTTTTCTCATTAGGCTACCAAATCATCGGGTCCCTTTTCAATCAAAGCTCAAGCAATAATACCCCAAAGAAGTAAACATCTTTCTTACAATCAGATTCAAACTCTCTACAACCAACTTTGCAAAACGAATACTACGATTGTGAATTCGGTTTTATAATAAACTTGCCTCCCGGAAGTTTGAAATCCCGGCATGGTTCAACGGTAAGATCATCGGGGTTTATACCTAAAAAGGGGGAAAAAAATCATTAGAATAAGTCAACAACACAAACATTTAGGATCACTAGCACATCTCTAGCATTATAAACAAAAGAATGCTCCTCCCCCCTCCCAAATGTCAAAGAAAAAACAGAAAAAGAAACACAATAGTCATGATATATCATACTAATTCTAAAGTATTTTCCTAATGAAAAAACACGAAAACTGTGTAAAACATGAAAATTGGCATTAACTCTGGACAAAAATTGACAAAAATTAAGGCCACTGCACAAACTACGGGGATATACTATTACAGGCCTCCAAAATAAGACCAGCGACAGACCTTAGGTCCAAACATCCGATATATAGACCACACTGTCAACCATCACCAATGGACTGAAACTAAGCAATCCTAACATCAGCTTTGCATTGATAGACAACAATTGATCAAATTAAGGCGCACACACCTAACACGAAAATACTCTTTCTTGCCTCGGGAATTATAAGTCCCCAAAAACACCAGCAAATAGAGCTACGGACCAAACATCACTGCATATACCATACTGTCAACCATCACCAACGGACTGAAGAAACTAAGCAAGCGTAAATTCTTAATACCGAAGTACCAAGATGATATACAAGGATACACTGACAAAATGAATTCAGAAGATTGTGGCAGAATGCCCAAAATTAAAACTGAAACGAATGTGGTAAACACAAATGTATAGGAAGCAAGGGAGCTCTATTCTGAAGACCAAAATGGAAAAGAAACAATACAATTTACAGTTGTAACAATACCAAAAAGACACTTTAAAGCCAAAACATACAATGTATACAATACATATCCTACAAGAAAAAAATTAACGGAACTTTAACCTAAACGTTCGAGGGAGCGAGGGCGGTAATAGGGGGGAAGGGGAAGGTTTTCAAGAAATATTTGCTTAACGTTCTCCATTGCAGTTTTTTGCAGCAGTAGCATCAGAAAGAGCTTTTTTGGTAGCACGCAACTCTGCTCGCAAAGCGTCTCTCTTTGCTGTAGCAGCGTCTCTCTCTGCTCGCAATCATTCATAGATTGCATCATTAATCAATCTACGAACAGGAAAGAAAAAATTAAATAAATAAATAAATAAAACCCGCGGGGACGCTCTTTGAAATACCTTTCTGAAAGAATTATTGCATCTATTATTCACATGATACATTGTGGTATTTACAATAGTATAACAACCCTAACCGTATACATGGGAAACCCTAATTAGGATTTCGATTATTTCCATATTCTATCATCCCCCGCAATTGTAGCAGGAGAAGTAATCATGCCTAGATTGGTTCTAAACAAATACAATTTATCCTTAGGTAAAGATTTGGTAAAAGCATCTGCAAGCTAGGATTGTGAGGAAATATGAAGGACCCGAAGAAGACCAGCAGTAACACGTTCACGAACAAAATGAATGTCTAGACCAATATGTTTGGTGCGAGCATGATTATCCGGATTTGCAGCTAGGTATGTAGCAGAAACATTATCACACAAGATGACCGGGCGATGTGAGAGCTTGATTTGAAGTTCAGACAGAAGATTCTCCAACCAGACGGATTCAGCCAACGCAGAGGCAACAACACGGTACTCAGTCTCAGCAGAAGATCGAGACACAGTGGATTGTTTCTTGGAAGACCAGGAAACTAGTGAGGAGCCCAAGAAAACACAAAAACCAGTCGTAGAGCGACAAGTAGTAGGGCATCCAGCCCAATCAGCATCGGAATATATAACAAGGCGATCAAGGGGGCCAGCACGGAGATGTGTACCATAGTGAAGTGTGCCCTTAATGTAACGGAGAATGCGCTTGACCGCCTGAAAGTGCTGCTCATGAGGATCATGCATATGTTGACAGACAAGATTAACCGCATACTGAATATCCGGTCTGGTGAAAGTAAGATACTGTAATGCACCCACCAAGCTGCAATAGAGAGTCGGATTGTGAAAAGGCGGGGACGCATCAACCGAAATTTGAAAAGCCAGAGCAAGTGGAGTTGTAATTGGATTAGCATCGGTGAGATGACTGCGAGCAAGCAACTCCTCAGCATACTTGCGTTGGTGTAAAAACCAACCACCAGAGTGAGGAGCAATAGAAATACCAAGGAAATAGCTGATTGGACCAAGATTCGTCATTGCGAAAGCTCCTTTCAGCAACTGAATAATAGTAGTAAGGAGATGATTGCTGGAAGCCGTCAAGAGAATGTCATCAACATAAAGTAACAAAACAGCCATATCCGATCCAGAAGAATACACAAACATGGAAGTGTCCGAGCGACTGCCTTTAAAATCCTGTGTAAGCAGAAAAGCAGTGAAATGATGAAACCAAGCTCTGGGAGCTTGCTTTAAGCCATAAAGAGCTTTTTCAACCGACAGACATAGTGAGGATGGTCTGGATGAACAAAACCAGTAGGCTGTTTCA